AATTGCAATAGGTTTAAAATTTTTTGGACAATTTTTCTGAAGGCAAATCACAGGTTACCACTCACGTGGTCACGTAAAAAGCAGATAGAGAGTAGAATCTCGAGTAGAAACCGTGTTTTCATAAAGGGTAATTCATGGGGCGGATGAAATTGCATGTGTTAAATTTTTCTGAATGCTTACGCCGCATGCTCTAATTTTTTAGGTTAATCACTATTCTTGAACCTATATGACACCCATAAACAAGAAAAGCTAGTAATTCTTACTCTACCAACTCTAATTAGCGTGAAGGAGACAAACATCTGGCTCGGATCAAAAAGTACAGTGACCCTCGATCAGACTCGAAAAAGGCAAATACACAAGGTGTTGTCCCTACTCTTCTCGACCCGACACGACAAATGAATATGCGAAAAGGGAGAGGATATAAAATTAGGATGGAACATGTAGAAAGACAGGTGGAACGTATCAGTTGTCTTTGTCTCTTTGCGGTTCCTACAAGCAAAGATCTGTGTAAGCAGCATCTTGCTCAGCATCAACGTTTTGCCCATCTGCGCATGGAATTGGAAGATAACCCCCCAGAAATGATATGACCATCGATCAATTAAATACCATGTTCTCAAGAAAGTACGTGATTACATGTATATGACCATATTGGCTGGCTCAAGCAATAGGGTAGTTATAAACAATACTATTATATTTGATATTTTTCGTGTTAGTTTGAATGATCATTTGGCATCATTTTGAACTTGGACAGTTGTATTGGTTTCTTTCTAAGTTAATATGTGTACACAACAATCCAACTCCTCTTAGGTTAACCCCAAATATGTGATGCCAGTTTTAATCCACGTGGCATAACACAATTGTCTTAAGAGAAGCCATGTGATTAGTGACTAAGATTAAAACTGGCATTACAGATTTGGGGTTAACGTAAGAGGAGTTGGATTGCTGTGTAGATATATTATCTTAGAAAGAAACCAACGCAACCGACCCAGTTCAAGATGATGCCAAACGATCACTCGTTGCATCCTTATATATTGATATTCTATATTAACTTTCATGTTAGTTTGATGATCATTTGGCATCATCTCGAACTTGGACGGTTGCGTTGGTTTCTTTCTTAGATAATATATCTACAACAAAGACCTCATTACCGAGATATGACAACTCTTTTTTTTAGCCAAAAAATGAACAATCCAACTCCTCTCAGGTTAACCCCAAATTTGTAATGTCAGTCTTAATCCACGTGGCATGTTGCGTCCTTATTATTTACATTTGTTCTAACGCAACAGATAAAAATTACCGCGTGGGTTACAAAAAAAAATTATTTGATGGGAACATGGGATAGACATAAAATCACATGCAATAGGTAATTAGTATTGTACGTCCAAGTTGCATGATGCCTTAGCACCACCATGCATGTTGCTAATATTATTTGCGGCATCTATCAAATCCAGCTCGCATGCCATTGTTAATAAATAATAGTGCATCTTTATGTATATTTATATATCTATATAGATGACCCAATAAAATACGCGGAAATTATCTAATCAGCCATAAACTTATTGTACCGATGCCAATTCATTGTCGATGATGACTGTATCATCACATCAGCGATTTTTAGGGAAAATTAACCAGAATAATTATATTGAAATTTTACACAAAGGTTTAGGACTATATTAGCAAAATTATAAAGTTGGAATTGGATTGGCATATGTATAATGTATTTATAATCGATTGGGTAATTTTTTTTAACAAAACGCAGTCACATGATGCCCAAACATTAGGTCAAAGCATTTTTGGGGTGGAGATCCTAAAAACCCTAAGCTTGACTCAACTGCACGATATTCAAACTTTTTACGTTTTCAAAAGGAGTTGGTAACGTAACCCAACTGTCTTAAGAGAAGCCATGTGATTAGTGACTAAGATTAGCTTAAGTTGAATCGTCGTTGTCGATGCAATACGACAAAGGGTCTCGAGGTACGTGACATCATTGGGTTCTATGCATATTTATATGCTCCCGAGCACCAGCTCCTTCTGGAAAGAAAACAAGAGACAACACATTCCAAGACGTCGAATTTGTTGATCGTGCAGAGATGCATCACAGCCAATCTCTGCTTAGTCGGATACCCACTTCGTGGTTTTGTTACGTTGAATTCACGTTACACACAAAAATCGAATGAGATGTTAGGTTTTCAGATACATGCTTGACGACCCAACATCATATGACGACGAAGAGTTATTTCCTAGCAAACAAAAAAAAAAGAAGAAGAAAAATTTGACGAAATCAGGCATAGCAAAAGAAAGAAAATAACATCAAAGGTATGCTGCCGGTGTGTACACCTAACAAGTTAGGTGAGCAAAGATCTTTTTTTGTTTTGTGACTCTTTTCTTTTTGGCTGTCGTGATCGGGATTAAAAAAAACATGAAATCATTGATCTAGGTGGTATATATAATTACGATAAAAGAATTTCGTCAAAGACTCGAGTGTGGTTTTCTGGATACTTGTTAAATGAATAAAAACTTGTGTTGTTCTATGTAATGACTTCTTTAAATTGGGTTAATACTGTTGAAAGTCCCAACCTGGATTCTCTTATGGTACATTTGTCCCAAACTAATCCCGTCTCATAGAAAATCGCAGACTAGTACCTTATGACACATTTACCTCAATTTCATTTTCGTCTCACGAAAAATTTTCAACTAGTAGCTGACTCAAATGTACCCTCCATATGTCCAAAAAAAAAAAAATGTACCCTCCATTAGCAATTAGGGATCAGACGCGGAGGTTAGGCTTAGGTCATGTGATATCATTTTGGGATTTTCCGTAAAACGAAAATTTAGTTTGAAAGTAAATGAATGATGACGGAATAAGTTTGATTTAGGATAAACGATTTATATGGGTGCTAACCTGAGAGTCTCGATAGTATCAACTCTTCTAAATTCGAGTATTTCATATTAAAATTATTAAAATGAGTGTCGGCCCACTTACACGTACGATTCACTTCCGACTTATACTTTTTCCCCTTTTCATCAATGGAGGTCCCAAAGTGATTCCGGCTTGGCAGCATCATTTTCCACTTCCGCCGTTGTTGCAATCCAATGCGGATTCCTTTGTACAAAGCATTATTAGAGCTGTCCCTGACCTTGTAGCAGCAAAACCGAGGTCAAATCATCCTTTGTCTTTTATTGCAGTGAAAAATTTTCATTTTCACGAGCAGTTTCGAGATCACAAGGTGCATGCATTGAGTCAGTTAATTACTGTAACAGTGCACACACCTCAAGATCTCGAGGCCGCTTATGAAAATTATTGCATTTCATCACAAAAATCATCTAAATAATTACAGGGCAAGGAAATTGGTAATGTTATGAATTGACAAAGAGAGGAGGTTTTTTTTTTATTTTAATGAAAAAGGGTTAAAGCTGAATACGAAAGTTTAACGTCGTAAATTTAATATCCCTATTTTATCATCATAATAAAACATGAAGTAACTTTCTAGGAGGCAATAAAAAGAACCTAATGTTAAAGTCTCAAGTGAGAACTCAATAGTCTTTTGATATCTTCAAGCAAAGCAGAGCCAGCATTATCATACATAAGCTCTACACTAAGAAGATTATTGATGTCTTTAGAGTCAATTTTAATGATAATCCTATGAAAATCATGTTGTTTTGCGAAATTGAGTCCAGCCACAATGCCGAAAGTCTTACTTGACGAGGTCTAACTAATATACCGTAGTAGAGTTTAGATTGACATTGAGCCTGTCTAGTACAACTTTTCAGTATCATTTACAGCGACTACAGGGCACTTAGGAAATGTCTATTTTAATGGCAGGTTGATGCCCCACTTATGTATATGCATAACAGTTCCATGAAAGGGAAAAATGGACTTAAAATATTTCGAGAAGGAAAAGACAAACGATTGGCAAACCTGTCTATTTAGGAATCGCGAAAATTTGCTGGTTTCAAATATCTGTCTCTTTAGGAACATTGAACACTTCAACTCTTTTGAAATTAAAGGAAAACCAAGTCTAAACACGAGAAGTTTGAGAGGGGAAATTATTCTGTGTGTTTAGTGAATATTGTTTATTATAATCTTATCTCCCATTTGACATTGTACGTCACGATATGCCTTGAAAATTATGAGGCGGGGGGGGGATGGGGGTCGGCGGCAGTTGGTGAAAGTTATTAATTGAAAGATGGATTAATACTACGAAAAATTTTAAACTGGTACACATGTGATAAATTTATTCATAATTAATTTTTTTATTAAAAATCTCAAACTGGTACCGGATGTATCAATTTAGGGTTTTACCTTCCGTTTATCACATGTATATCGGTTTGTGGCTTTTCGTGGTATTAATCCAATTTGATGGTAAATTTGTCACAAACCTACTAGTTTGTGAGTTTTTGACGGTCGAAAACTTAGTTTAGGATAAATTTGTTACATGCGTATCGGTTTAGGATTTTTAGTGATCACAAAATTAATTTGTTTATATTTGTCACGGGTGTACCGATTTAAGGTATGGAATTACGTGTGAAATTACTTTTGGGTTTGCGATCAGGCTCTCTCTGCTCTCTCTCTCTCTCTCTCCGAAATGAGATGAAGTGGCTTTTGTCACAGAGAGTGCTCGAGCTTCCTCGTGGCCAGAGGCTGGAGACAGCGAGGGAGAGAGACGAACGAAAAGCGTAGAAGTCGGTGAGACTGTAACGGCTGCCCACTACTTGCACCTCCCTTCTTGACTCGGAGGAGTTGGAAAGAGACAACCCCGTGTTTTCGCGGTCAACACGAAACGCTCTTGCCACTCTGGGACTTCCCTCTCTCTCTGTCTCTCCCTCCCTCTATAAAAAAAGCGTCTCTCCCTCCTCCATCTTCCTCACCCCAGCACGGCCTCACGGTGCAAAGCGATACCGCATTTGCAGGTGTGTGCTTCTCCCACTGTCTCTCTCTCCCTCCCTCTCTCTGATTCAGTCTCACCCCGCTTTGCTTGTTTGAGTCTTGGAGCCATTTCGTGTGATGGGCTTGTCTCAAGTTCGCAACTTTTTCCGCTGCCGCTCCGCAATTCTTGATCTTGATTTCTTCTGTCGTGTCGCAGATACGCTTTTCTCTTTCGTGGCTCTCTTTTCTTTTTTATTCGTTTTTGTTTTTAATTTGGCGTCCGTGCCTGTGTATTGAGACTTGATCATCCCTGCCCAAAGACTTTTTCCAAGCCTTTCTTTGAAAGTTCGTTGGTCGTCTTTTACTGTGCCCCTCTTGTCATTATCATCGTTGATTTCAGCGTCCCAAGTCTAATCTCGAGGTGATTTCTGGGCAAATCAATTTGCCTGAAACCTCGCGCTAGTATGGCTGTTCTTAATTGGCTCTCAACTTCAAATTTGCTTCAAACGAGACAGGGTCGTCATGGCTTTTCATTTCTTGGAAACTTCTCGAGGAGTCGTCTTAGTTGACTAGCGTCAAAAGCGTGGCTACCGCCCGAACCTTCTTCCTAGAACCTCACACTTAAAGCTGATTACTTATGGCTCAAAGCACGCTGGTTCAATCATCTTACTCGAATTTCTTTCGATCTTTCTTCTTCACTTTGTTCCTCTACTTGCAGTCTGCTATCCATCCTGTCCTCTATAGCTCTCTTTCGCCTTCTACTTTTCGAAAAGAAAGGTATCCGTCCACATTCATTGTTTCGCTGTACTACTTTTAGGCAGAGGTAGTACAGGTACACATGTAAGATGATTGTGATGTTATCTGTTTGCCTGGAAAGCTTAAGTAACAGGGAAAAAGTCGTTAGGATTTTGATGTTAATCGTTTGGTTTCTTTCTGTGTTTGCTTTAATTTGAGAAGTAGCAAGAAGTCCAAGTATGCCAGCTTTTTAGCACCCTCGAACCATGCCCATGTTTTCTCATTCTTCTGTGAAGCTTTGTTTAACTGGGTCACCAGCTGTTGTTGTCTACTTGAAGTTCTGAATTTCTTTTGTATGATTAATCTGCAACAACTCCTTGTTCTGACTTTTGTTTTGAAAAAAATGGTTTCGATACATTTACCTGCTTGTCTTTTTCCTTTTTTAAATCTATGAGCCCAATTATTGTTGTGCCAGATTAGAGATTGGCTTTTCTTATTAAGTTTCTCAAGTTCTGCTTCATGTTACAGTCCAAGGTCGGTGAACATGTTGGAGAAGATGGAAGAAATCAACCTCGACAGAGTAATAGAAGAATTTGAGGCGATGACCAGAGATGCTGGGAGAGTCCAGAAAGAAACCTTGAAGAGGATCCTAGACGAAAACGGCAATTCTGAGTATTTGCAGAATCTAGGTCTTGATGGCAGAACAGACCTCGAGAGCTTCAGGGCTTGTGTTCCCATTGTTACTCACAAGGACTTGGAGCATTATATGCAGAGAATTGCTGATGGTGACTCTTCCCCTATACTCACAGGAAGACCCATTACCACTATTTCATTAAGGTAATAAAACACTTTTCCTTAAACTCACCTGAAGTCTAGTTAAATAATTAGTCCATAGCGGTCTGATGAAGTTATACGTAATGCTTTTACAGTTCTGGTACTACACAAGGAAAGCCCAAATACGTCCCTTTCAATGACGAGTTGTTCGATACTACCATGCAGATTTATCAGACCTCTTTTGCCTTTAGAAACAGGTATACTTTCGGACAGGACTCGTCAACTATGTTTGATTAGTCCTTGGATATCCTTCCAAGCTAGTATTTGTCTGTAGAATAATGCAGATGTTCTTTTAGTAAATGTACTAAAGCTGAACTCTTGTTTAGTTCTTTAAGTGAACCATTCGGTTTATTGTTTAATTCTTCAAACTGTTCATTCACCACTATTGTCATCGATCATCCTGTTTTGGAACCTTGCTCGAATCCATTATGGCAACAACGCATATAAATCTCGTGGTTTAGTTGCATTACCTTAAAGATGTCTTTGCCGCAGGGACTACCCAATCGAAGGTGGGAAGGTCTTACAGTTCATATATGGCAGCAAGCAATTCAAAACAAAAGGTGGTCTTGCCGCGGGCACTGCTACCACCAACCTGTTCCGTAGCTCGCAATACAAAAGTACGATGAAGGCAATGCAATCACATTGTTGCAGCCCTGATGAAGTGATATTTGGTCCCGATTTCCAGCAATCCCTGTACTGCCATCTCTTGTGCGGGCTTCTTTATCGCGATGAGGTACAATCTGTGTCGTCCACGTTTGCTCATAGCATTGTCCATGCTTTTCGAACATTTGAACAAGTCTGGGAGGAACTATGCACCGATATACGTTACGGGGTGCTCACCAGCAGAATTACTGGTCCGTGCATCCGGGCAGCTATGTCGAAGCTGCTCAAGCCGGACCCCGCCTTGGCTGATCTGATACAAGAGAAGTGCTCAGGATTGATTAACTGGTATGGATTGATACAGGAGCTTTTCCCAAATGCTAAGTACATTTATGGGATCATGACGGGATCAATGCAGCCTTACTTGAAAAAGTTGAGGCACTATGCAGGGGAACTACCTCTGTTAAGTGCTGACTATGGTGCATCTGAAGGGTGGGTCGGAGCAAATGTTAATCCAAAGTTGCCTCCTGAATTGGCTACTTTCGCTGTACTCCCTAATATTGGATATTTCGAATTTATCCCCTTAAAAGAGTGTATCAATACGCTCGAGCCGAAGCCAGTGGGTCTAACTGAAGTGAAGGTTGGTCAAGAGTATGAGATACTCGTTACCAATTCTGCAGGTACTTAAAGTTCTTAATTGTTTCCTTCTACTTTACTTTTCCCTGCTACTACGTTTTTTTTAAATGTGCGGTAGATATAAGTGGAAGCCTTTAGTTATGAACCGCCTCTTCGTTGCTAAATATGAAAAGTTGTAGCTAAGATGTGCTTCTCATGCTGTAATACACATCCGCAACAGGCATGTTGTCTGTCACTCGATATGGTTTTAAGTTGTGAAGAAGCTGCTTCAAAGAACTGCCCTTTCAGTTCATTCATATGCACTTGCAACCAATGCTTGGCGTTTGTTTCTGTCCTGAAGTTCAATAAGTTAAATCTTCTGTTTTTTTAATTTGATGCATGCAGGATTTTACAGATATAGGCTCGGAGATATGGTGAAGGTGGTGGGCTTTCACAACTCGACCCCGGAACTCCAATTCATATGCAGGAGAAATCTCTTGCTCACCATCAACATCGACAAGAACACAGAGAAGGACTTGCAGCTCGCGGTTGAAGCAGCGGCCAATCTGCTGGCAGAAGATAAACGCGAAGTCGTGGATTTCACCAGCCATGTGGATCTATCAAAGGAACCTGGCCACTATGTGATATTCTGGGAAATTAATGGAGAAGCAAGTGACGACACCTTAAAGGAATGTTGCAATTGCTTGGACCGGTCATTTGTCGACGCGGGCTATGTGAGTTCACGCAAGGTCAACACGATAGCGCCGCTTGAGCTGAGAGTCCTAAGGAGAGGGACCTTCCAAAAGATCCTGGACCATTACTTAGGACTAGGAGCTGCTGTCAGCCAATTCAAAACCCCAAGATGTGTAGGGCCTTCAAACGATGCTGTCTTGCGGATCTTGTCTGAAAATGTCATCAAGAGCTACTTTAGTTCTGCTTTTTAATTAAGTAAAATCCTTAAGATTTGATTTCATATTTTGTTTCTGGATTAATCGGACTCGTATATGGCATAAAATGTGATTTGATTCTCCTTCCCAAATGCAAGTTCTAATCATATTGAATGCATATTAATTTTTCAAAGTGCAGTACATTGCATAATAATTGGTTTTTTTTTATGGTTCGGCATGGAACAGACACCTAGTTGAAATTGTCCATCACTGCGTTACTCATTTTCATGCCGAAAACAAATGAACAAGTCCAAAACCAACGATTCTGCGTTTGTCCCTCTTTTGACTTTTTTAGTCTTCTCTTCAATGTCTTAGAATTAACCGTGACTACTTTTAAGTCCTCTCAAGTCTAAGGTCATTCATCTGATCCCTTTCTTAGTATTAGAAGTGCGTGCGGCGCTGTCCATGAAATTGCCAATCCCAATTCTGTTTCTTTGCTTCGGAAGCTTGCTATGCTCTACAATGTTACACAATGGCGAAGTGTAATATATCCTATCATTAGTAATCCTGATCTGCAGATCCCAATCTCTCTATTCACACAATTTAAATTCTCAAGGAAAAAAATTTCATGATAGAGTACAAGCTTTCGGTTCTGGAAGCTCTCATATCAGCTTAATAACATATTCACAATACATTAGCCCAACTCTTCACATGAGCAAGGGTGAGTTCATGTTCTAAGTGATGTGAATTAATGGACTCTATGTTGTCATTTAGTCAATTGTTTAATGTTGGTAAGCCTGTCTAGAACCCAATGACAAGGATAGTGGGCTACTAATTTTAGCGAGCGGATCTGTCGTTTTCTTCAACAACTCTGAGACACTTACCTGGCCCCATCGTGAAGGGCAGAGAAACTTGTTCCACTACATGTCTCATGATAGCATGAAATCCACTTCTTTGTGATGCAAAAGCTTGTAGCAATTTTTCATGGAAGGCAAAGAGATGATAAGAGCAAAAACAGAAGAAGCTGAAGTCGAAGATGGGGATGCATTGGAAGTATGGGACCGTGGAAGCCCTTTGTATGATGCCTTTGAATTGGTGTCACTCAGTCATGTCATAGAGAGGCATCTCTTGGTTTTCCCTTGTAACAGAAAATCGAATTGGCAAAACAACTGTGCTCGTGTCACATCAGTATCTTGTGCCGAGGACACAAACAAGGCGTGTAAAGTTTCGTCCTGGCGAGAAATCGTGAGGAAGAAAATGTGGAAGAGGTTCAGGATGAGTGGACGCGGCAAGGAGGACCCGAAGGAGCTGAAAGTTGGTCCTAAGTATGGCTTCTCTTATAGGATTATGTAGACGAAGATCGTTCGATATAAACAAAACCAAGCAGGTTACTTGTATAGTTGATTACGAATTTTCCTCCTGTTCCCGTAGCAGTGTATCTTGTTGATGTTCTTCATGACTGTCACATAAAGAAGTTGACAGGGTCTCCCTCTCTTTCGATCTGCATTCTTTCCTATCTTGCAACATGTTCTTTTGTGTGTTTTTGTGTCACGTTCATTCCAACCATCTTGTTGACAATGGAAACCTTTTCTGTGTGTTTTCTGAAGGTATGCGATGAACATAGATTATGCCATTGCCAACTCTCTGCATAATCTTCCTATTCACTTGGACTCATCAAACGAGGTACCTACTTAGGCTGGCTTTGGCTGCTCGGGGTTTTGCATAGAATACGATAAGAAGAAACCCTTTCACATCCTATCTTCGACGGGTCGTGCGATCTGGAGTTGTTCAACAATGTCCTATCCTTTTTACGCATTCGAAGGATGTCGAGAGCATGCGCAAAGGCTAAGCTGAATCATTTTACCTGTCGTGAGCCACTACTGCTGTTCAAGCAGCGCACCTAAGCAATGGTGACTGTCGAGCATTTTGCCCAAATCAGCCTGTGGCAGTGATTGCTCTGCCTAATCGTTGCCGTCATTTGGATCACAACTTTGTAATTATCTGTGTTGTAGTTATCTTTGGTTAAGTAGTGTTCCATTCTATGCCAGAACCGTTCCCCTGTTCCGTTAAAAAAAAACTATGCTATTAATAAAAAAGTCGCCGATGACTTGATATCCTAGTCATTCGTCTGCAACTTATCCATGTTTTTATGAAATTACCAACTTTTTCCATAGTTCATAAAATATCAATTTTTATATGTTTTCTTACCAACATCTCAAGCTTGTGAAGAACTTGAAGAAGAAGAAAGGAAATTCACAATTGAAGAACTCAGAACTACACACTGAATTCCATCTGAGAGCATACTTTCTCTCTTGTATTTCTTACTGCTTTATATCACGCACAACTCATATACCAGAAACTGCTTCTATACAACTGAACTACCAGAAGAAACAAACTTATGCAACTGAACTAACAGAATGTTAACTACTCTGTTTTTCTCTTAGCTGAAGGAACAGAATCAGTTACAGAACATTAACCAATACTTGATATGTATAGAAGTCTTGATCTTTCTTCATCTTTCCACTTCACCTTCGTTCTTTCCTATAGTCTCAACATCCCCTCGCAAACTGGGTGCAGGTTTAAACCCCAAGCCCAGTTTGGTTCTGAGAGTGGAGTGATCAAGTCGTGACAAGGCCTTGGTGAAAATGTCAGCAAGCTGGCGATGACTAGGAACATACTGGACAGATAATGATCCCAAGGAAACATTTTCTCTGACAAAATGAAAATCAACTTCGATATGTTTGGTTCGAGCATGTAAAATAGGATTTGCAGTAAGTGAAATGGCAGACTGATTATCGCAAAAAAGGACTGTAGGTGATGTTAAAGAAATGCCAATATCACGCAGAACAAAGCTGATCCAAGTAAGATCAGCAGTAGCAGAAGCAAGTGCACGATACTCTGCTTCAGTGGAGGATCGAGAAACAGTGGATTGTTTCTTGGCTGTCCAGGAAATGAGATTGGAACCAAGAAATAGGCAAAAACCAGTAGTAGAGCGTCTAGTATCAAGACATCCTGCCCAGTCAGCATCTGAGAAGCCATACAAGTTTAGAGTACTGTTCGAGTGAAGAAAGATACCCAGATGAAGTGTGCCCTTTACATACCGAAGTACTCACTTTAGTTTAAGAAAATCAGCAATGGTAGGATGCTGCATTTTCTAACATAAAAGATTAGTGGCATATGCAAGATCAGGTCTAGTAATAGTGAGATATTGAAGACCTTCTACCAGACTTCTATATTCAAGGGGATTGTCAAAAGGAATGGTGTCATTTGACGTAGGAAGAGACTTGACACATAGAGGAGTGGAGATGGGCTTGCAATCTTGCATGTGAGCTCGTGTAAGAAGGTCAAAAGCATATTTAGTCTGGCAGAGAAAAAGGTCAGCAGAACTACGTGTGGCTTCAATACCTAGAAAGTAATGAAGAGAACCCAGGTCTTTCATGTGAAAAGTAAGACTCAGAGACTTGATTAAGTCAGCAAGAAGCTGAGAGGAATTGCCAGTCAGGACAATATCATCAACATAAAGTAGCAAGACAATTGTGTCTGTACCTCTGTGGTACACAAAGAGAGAGGGATCTGTGGTGCTGCAGAAGAAGCCTGATTCAAGTAAAAAATTGTTGAATTTCTCAAACCATGCACACGGAGCCTGTCGAAGTCCATATAAAGACTTTTGTAGGAAACAAACATGATGAGGTAATGTAGGATCAATGAAACCAGGAGGCTGCTCCATATAAACAGATTCAGTCAATGTGCCATGTAAGAATGCATTTTTGACGTCGAGTTGGTGAATAGGCCAATGCTGCACCATAGCTACTGACAAGACAATACGTATGGTTGCTTGTTTGACAACAGGGCTAAAAGTTTCAAGATAGTCTACTCCTTCTTCTTGATGAAAACCTTTAGCCACCAGACGAGCCTTTAACCTTTCAAGACTCCCATAAGATGCTAACTTGGTCTTAAACACCCATTTACAGCCTATAACATTCATCTGAGCGGTGCGTGGAACTAATACCCAAGTTTGATTTTCATACAAGGCAGCCATTTCTTCTTGCATTGCACGAGTCCAGCCTTCATGAGCTAAGGCTGACTTAATTGATTTTGGTTCAGAAGGGATAGTAGATTCAGCTAAGCAGACATATTTAGGATTTGGTTTCACTATGCCAGACTTAAGTCGAGTTTGCATAGGATGAACAGAAATATCACAATGTGGAGAAGAGGAAGACTGATGTTCAGAAGCAACAACAGAAGACTGATGTTCTTGAACAGGCATATTGGTTATTGCAGTAGGCGAAACAGAAGAAGCTGATGGTCCAGGAATAGCAACAGCTTGTGAAGAATTGTATGGTATAGAAATTTGGCCTACCTCCAGAACAGCACTGTCTTGTAGATGGCCAGTGTGAAAAGTGTTAGGTTGTCTAACTGTATTTGCCCTGGTAGAATCCAGAAAAGCAACCTCATCAACCCACTTTCGGTACAGAGATGTATAGTGAGGATAATCTGCAGATAATTGCTTGGCAAATGGGAAGAAATTTTCATCAAATGTCACATGTCGACTGATATACACTCTACCATCAGTAGGTACCAGACAGTGATACCCTTTATATTTCTCACTATACCCCAAGAATACACAAGTGAGAGATCGAGGGTCAAATTTATGTTTAGCATATGGTCTGAGACAAGGATAACAAGCACAGCCAAAGACCCTGAGATGATCATACTTGGGCACTTGTTGAAAAAGTTTGCTGTGAGGTGAGTCCATCTGCAGCTTAGGAGTTTAGAAGCAGATTAATAATATAATTGGCAGTTAAGAATGAATCAACCCAGTAGTGTAATGGTGTTCGAGCATGATATAGCATAGTGAGACCCAATTCGACTACATGACGATGCTTCCTTTCAGAAATCCCACTCTGTTCGGGAGTATAAGGACAGGAAATATATTGTTTAATACCACAAGTGTCTAGATGAGCCTGAAACCTTGTACTAGTGAATTCACCACCACCATCACATTGGAAGACTTTGATTTTGCGGTCAAACTGAGTCTGTACATATTGCTGAAACATAATGAAAATATTATAGAACTCAGATTTGTATTTCATTGGATAAATCCAACTGTAGTGTCGCGACCTAAAATTTCTCTCAGGCTAATGGATTATTAAGACTAAGCCTAACTCGGGCCCACCCGAGCCCTACTAATTCGCAACTTAGGGTTTAAGTTTTTAACATGCAAAAGTTTTCATGCTTGGAGTCGCCACTAATCTATTTATGGTAGGTCGATTAGAAACCTAAATAAAACATAGGGAGATATGTTTTATTCCTACGAACCAGAGATTCTAAGCTCGGGGACTTGGTTACGCTAGATCTAGTCTAACGCCCTTTCGGTACCTTTTCTTTTCAAAAATATTTATGCATGCAGTCTGGATCCATTTTAACTTAGTCACTAGCATGTGAGGTGATCATGCGGGTGCGAAAACCATCAAAGTAACACACAATAATCAAAACATTAAATAAATTGCAAGATTGGGAGAATTACTTATCTCGAAGCAACGTAAGCATCTGCATTGTTAGCTAAAAAATCACATCAACAATCCTCATATGATTTCTAATTAACAAGCAGTTCACTCAATATTTTTTAGGATTTTCACTTATTTAAATGAAACCTAACCTATATGTAATGACGTGCAAAAATTAACATGCGATTAATGCAGCCTAACATGCAAATTATATGTCATGCGACGACGTGACCTAATTCTAATGACGGGCAAATGATTTATTTTTGGTATTTTTCCAATGAAATTCGAAATAAAAAAAATGTCTAAATTAACATGCAATCTATCTTAATCTGTCCTAAAGTGGCTCATTTTTTTTTGGGATTTTCACGAAAATTCGAAATCTAAATATCCTAAATAATCCACAAAGATTAAAACAATTTCTAATTTAAACTAGGAAATATGCTACCCTAAATCCCAATTTAAATCAAATAATTATCTTATTCTTTTGGATATATTTAAGATCCCCTAAGCATGCGAAATTTCTAATTTAAATCCTAACTAGCAAATTTTTGCATTTTCCTTATTTAAAAGGAAAGCAATCAAACAAAGATAACAATCACATTCAAACAATTTACGCAACCCGCAAGATTCTTCAAATTTAGATAAGGCAAAGAAATCAAACTAACGGTCATATCTATAGGGTTATAGATATCGACAGAAAGTTGATTGTTTAAATTTGGAAAGCAAATAAAATCTATTATCGTATCCAAGTGATTATGGATAAGATAACGATTTTCCGTATCACCGCGTATCGTACCTTAGGGATAAGGTCGGATAGTCGTCCAGATACGTTGCTAAATTAGGAAT